AGGGTACAGGTCTGAAAAAAAAGTTCGGTCTGTGAAAAAAATTAGAATAGCCCATACTTTTTTTGTGACTAAAGCTACAGATCTAAAAACTATATTTTTGAAAAGCCGTTAATAAATGCATGTAGACAAACTATTAAAATTATCGGTCTAATTTTTTCTTCTATAAGATGGCCTTGTAAATTGGGCTATGAACATGCATTTCAACCCTATACCTAGGCTATACATAGATTCAGTCCCCCCAGCCTTTATAGGGTTAAAATGCATTCATAGCATGTATGCCTGATATATGCTTACACGCTAAGGGTAGGGGGATATAAACTTATATTACATATCTAAACGCAAATAATTTCATTAAAAAAATGAACCATCACAATCATGCAAAAGTATCATCATGCTGTAAAATGGAGTCAAACGAAAATAGCAAAATTGTGTGAGCTTTGACCCTGTGTTGGATAAATGTTAATAATACATGGTGTATTTCTGTCCCATTTTATTTGGGATTTTTAAAACTGAAGTTATTTTTTACGAGCTTGGGAACTGCCAAGATTACTCATACTTACACCTGCAATTTACCCGCACTTGGACAATTTTACCAGGAAACTAAATTTTCGCTATGAAGGTTGACCCACTTAAATTAGAATCACAAAACCAAGCTAAGAATATTACTGTGGTTCTCCCGAATCAACAAGGAGTGTTTGAGTTATGATTGGACAAACAAACAGACACCCAAACAGAGATTACATGTTTATATACATAATAACATTTAGTGCGATAATCTGCTCACTTAAGAGTTATTCAAGAATTCAATTATACTTGAAAACTGTCCAGAGGACAAATTTATAAAAAATTAAACATTTAGAAAACTTACATATGAAACAGCTGCCGAGTCAGATACCAATATATTCCAAGAGTATTTGTTGGTGTCCATGAAGGTCCAGTAGGAGAAGTCAGTAACCCCACCCCCATGACCTCCAGATATAACAAGCATTCTTTTATCATCCTTGGCTCTAAATGACAGCATAACTTTCAGTAGATCATACAATAATCATAGCTGGGTCTACTATATTGTTGAATTAAGAATCTGACCATTTATTTCAATCTTATAATTAAAGGGACTGTAATGTAATTTTAAGGGAGACTCAATGAAAGATTGCAATGCCCCATTGGCTGATCAAGTATCAATTATTTATCACTTTTGAAGAAATACACCCCCCCCCCCACCCTCTCCTGATAATCCATCAGTAAAACAGAAATCAGTAAAGGTAAAACAGAGATTTTGTTATGTTAACATTTTTTTAAGTTACCATAATTTTAATCAATGGTGTTAACAGTAGATATTTCACCGGCAATGGTTTTTTTTGCGTTAGCCGTTCAGAAATTGGAACTTTGGCAAGCCCTATAATTGGAGCATTGCCAGTTATGTATGAAGGGTCTCTTGCGATTACAGTTACAGTCCCTTTAACGTAGGTATTATATAATCCTTCTACCTTCTAATTATAGTACATCCAAAGGCAGATCGTTCTGCAGGCATTTCATTGATGTGCTGCTCCCAGTAGTGCATGTTCAGGTTAAACACATTTACTGTTTTCATAAGTTTTCCCTGTAATTACAAATCACATGAATTGTTACAAAAGATAAAGTACTTGTGCTCAAAGTTCAACAACATTCTTATCCTCCCCCTGGTCATTTTTGAGGGAATTTGGTAATTTTTATGATGGTAAACATGTGTTACCAAAATTTTTATTAAATTTGCCTCCTCTCTTCTAGTAAACAGAATTTTTCCAGAGAAGGGGATGCACAGGGGGGTACTTTGGGGGGTCATGGATGGGTGACAAAATGAATAAATTCTGCAGTTGGTCTTTTCATTTACAAACATTGTTTAAATTTTAGCTAGGATTAATTTATAATGATTTTAATTCATAATTATACTTTTCACGTTTATGAATTATCCTTGAATGGATCCTGTAAACTCGCAATATATTCAGATATCGTCTTTGTTACAGTGAGCTATTTGGAAGAGAAACATATATTTTATTGCAACAGCACAAGAAAGCACAGCTGGATATCGGGATAATCTAAATATAAAATAGATTCTAACAGTAAAATAGAAACAATGTTGTGCTATAGCAGCACCCCAAATACTTGATTTAGCCAGAGTAGTATGTTGAAAAATCCAATTTTAAGAGTTTTCTATGAAATAACAGGTTTTCGGTCAAAATTCTAAACTTAAACATAACATTTAAACAACTTAGAGACTTCTCTCAAAAACAAATTATTAAGCAGTCAAGCCTTATTTGACATAATGAAGTGGTTTATGGAATAAACTCATTTTGGCTGACTCTCCTACTAAAACCCAACTGTTGGACGTTCCCCTCAGTTTTTCAAGGAAATTTATAATTTTAAAAATCAAATCGGAATTTTTTAAGCTTCTGTACCTAAAGTTGGTAATCGTTTTATTGAAAACGATCGAAATGTAATAAATATAGGTCCCGAGATTACACTACTCAAAGTCTAATTATAGTCTAACTGACTCTATCTCTAGCCAAAACTCAAGGCTCTCAATCTCTAGCCAAAAATCAAGGCTCTGTATACGTCTGTCTAACACTACGTTTCATATGGAACTAATTTATTTATATACAGGTTAAACTAAACTGACGGGACTAGCTGAACAGGGTCACATAAAGATAGATAAGATATATTACTATATATCTTTTATATCTCTCAAAAATGTAAACGAATTTGTCTTTGTTTTTGAATACATGTAAATTACTTTATATTTATCTCATAAATCTCTCATGAAAAAATGTAAACAAATTTGTAGCTAAGCTTTATTAATGAAAATATGTAAAATATGCTGTACATTTTAATAATGAGACAATAAATATTTAGATTTTAAAGATATATTACTAGCATGGATAATAAAGATTGTACTAATCATTGCAACAGAAAATGCTACAAATCCCCGGGGGGACAGTGTCGAGAGTTTTTGTTCAATGCAATCTTAACTATATCTCGACATTATATGTCTCCAGCATTAGTCATCAGTCTCTCCAGTTGGATCGGATCGGTTCTAGGTCTCTTCTTGTTCTTGAGCTGAGCCCAATTCAGGGTGAGTCTTGTAATCAACGCCCCTAACGTGGCTGTAGCTCCGTAGAGTACCACACTTATCACCATGGAGATGGTTAACACACTGTATTCGATCAATAGCATAGTACTCAGTAAGGTCTTCATGTGCTCTTTCTCCCGGTACTGGGCCCCGAAGGGGTTGATTGAGGCTAACACTGCTTCACTCCCTTCTTGGATATGTTTCTTGAGATCCTCAAGGTTTAACCCAGACATGATACTGTGCTCTCCAGGAGTCTTCATCACATAGTACATTGAGCAACCTCTGGTGTTGGGAATGCTGGAAGGTGCTGGTAGAAAATGGTTTCACGAGGGGGATCTTCATTTTCTTACCATCCGGGGAATTATAAAAGCCCTTCTTCGCTGCCATGCACTGCTCCAGGGTAACAGGCTCATCCCCCCCCCCCACTTCTGGGACGTCCATGAACTTCCAGTGCAAGTAAGCACCACAATATCCCTTAAAACGGGAGATAGTTGCAGTACAAACCACACTGGACAGTTCATGGACGTATTCTTCACCTAATATCCAGGCATCCTTAGACACTACTAACTTCTCAGGCATTTTCTTCCTCGGGATGAAACAGTCCTTAGGCAGGTGCATCTTGTTGATCATCGTGGGAGTGGTGCAATCAAAGGCCTGCATAGAGAATGGAGACTCCCTCCAGTCCGTGTTCCCCTCCACCTTCATAACTGACGTAAGTAGTAGGATCAGTGTAAACATGGTCTTGAACATCTTCCCGCTCCAAGATGCAGACATTGCAAAGAATGTTCTCTGAAACTTGTCCAAGGTTCCTGCCACGCCTCTATGTCCCCCAGCCACGCCCTCATGACAAATCTTGAACACTTCCTCTAGTTTCACTGCTGGTACACAAACACGCAAGGCATCATAGGATTTGGCTGGATCTGTGTGATGGTTGTAACACAAGATTCAGTTATGAATCACAAACAGGGTAGGATTGAACATCTGTCTCACTGATATCACTTCCTGTATTCCTCCCCTCACTTCCTGCATCTTGGGTACTTTGCCATCCACTATCCACTTGATCACTTCCTTCCAGACTTCACCCTCTTCCTGTAACTTCCTCAGTACATTCCCCTCTATGATCTCAAATCTTGTCTCTTGACTATGAATAGCAGGCAGATATCCAGCAAACTTCTGCCTTTCTCTTCCTATCTCCACAGGGTTTCCTTCCAATTCTAATTCAAAAGTTATCTTCAGCTCTCCCACTTTGTTGGATTCTTAATATTCTTCATTCTCTTCTGTTGTTGGCTCATCTAATGTTTGGCTCTGGACAAGGCATCTGCACTAACGTTCTCACTTCTTTTCTTGTGTATCACAATGAATTCAAACTGGGCCAGTTTCAGATACCAATGTTGAAAAATAGTTTCCTCTGATTTCAAGTTCACGACATACTTTAAACTATCCGTGTAGACTAGGAAGGGGGGCAGGTACTTCAAAATATGTTCCCACTTCTTCATGCATTTCACCAGGGCGAGGAGCTCTCCCTTAGCCCTGGAATAGTGTCTCTGGTACAATTACACTTCCACCCCCAGCAGCCTAGAAACCGCTCCACTCCTTCTTGTTTCTGAGATAGAACTCCTGCAATGATTAGAGACGACCAGTCCGTAGTAAGAATAAAAGGTTCATCTGAATCAAAATCTGGATAAGCTTGTATACGCCCTGCTGAAAACTCCCCCTTCAACTCCAGGAAATCCTTCTTAAGACTATTCATCCTGTTGTTCAAAGCAGAGTACCTAGGAATAAAACCTCTTTCATAACCCGTAAATCCCAAGAATGACGACATTTCCTTGCAACTAGTGGGACGTGGCAAGCTCTGTATATCTTTCACATATTGATCCAACATCTGTACTTCGCCCTGACTCACTTTATGTCCTAAATATTCGGTCTCTGTCTGAAATATCTTGGTCCTCTTAGGTTGAATCTTGATCCCTGCCTTCGCATGAGCCTCCATGATACTCTTCAGATGCTTCAAGTGGTCCCAGGTGTCCATGGAGTACACCAGATTGTCGACCAGATATGATAACCGGTACTCCACAGGTAAGTGCGCCAGGGCCAGATCAAACATCCGGGTGTAGACACTTCCAAAGTTTGACACGTCTAAGGGCATCCTTATATAAAGAAAGGTGCCAAAGTGACTAATAAAAGCTGTACAATCCCTGCTCCCCTCTTCTATCTGTATGGCGTGATATGCCCCGCAGGCGTCAATTGAAGTGAAGATTTTTGCACCCTTCAACTTTTGCAGGCTCTCCTGTATATTCGTCAGAGGATAAGCATCCTTGATGGTGACGTCATTAAGCTGCCTTGGGTTCGTCACCCATCTTGTCCTCCCATCCTTTTTCTTCACAGGAACTAGTGCCGATACCCAGGGACTGTTTGCAGGTTCTATAATCCCCTGTTGGATCCACTTCTCCAATTGTTCTTTCAAATTTGCGCGCTGATCTGGGTTCAATGGCCTCACCTTGGATCTCTTAGGTACTGCCCCAGGCTGTAATTCTATCCGCAGCTCCAGTAAATCTGTTTTGCCATAATGATTAGGGCAAAGGGCTAACAGAGAAAAGTTCTCCAAAAAAAGTTTGATCACTTCCTCTTTCAGCTCTGCATCTCTGTTCAGAATTTCGTTCTCATCTATCTTGAAACTATCCTTGATAAGTTTCTTTCTACTCTCTTCTGTGGGGAAATCCGTAATGATTGGGATGCAGGGCTAATATAGAAAAGTTCTCCAAGAAAAGTTTGATTACTTCCTCTTTCAACTTTGCATCTCTACTTAGAATCTCGTTCTTATCTATCTTGAAACTATCCTTGATAACCTTTCTTCTACTATCTTCTGTTGGGAAATCTGATTCTTGCAGTGAGTTAAGTGATTCCTGAGAGTTACACACTTCCTCTTCGTCTAAATCCGGTGCCGTACTTCCTCTTAACTCCTCCTTAATCCAGGCTTGTTTATCTATGCACATACTATGTATGGTGCCCAGCTTCTGTCATACGCAGAACTCTACACACTCCTCTGCATGGTTCTCCACGTACACCACTGCTACACTTCCTGACAGGTCATACACATTTTCCTGAAGTAGAACTTTTCTCCCCTTCTCTTGATTCTCTAAAGGCAACAATTCTACACCGCTCCAGCACCCTTCCAGTTACCTTCTGTTCTCACCTTGTCTAATCTTGCACTTCCAGCAGGGATAATTACCTTCTCAGCAGACCATAACTTCCTCTCTAATACTTCCTTTACTGGACTGATGTTGTTTACTTCCGGTTCTCTTTTCTCTGCTTTCCACACAGCAGGAAGTACTTGTACATAACTCTTGGTTTCCTTATCCACTCTTCTGCCTTTAATCGTGAAAGGGAAAGGTTTACCATAGGCACTGCACAGTCTTGTTAACCTTTCCTGTCCCTTACTTCCAGTAACTAATTTCACTTCCTTCTCCGTACAGGATATAGACACTTCCTGTTGTTGAAAAAACTCTATACCAAAATTCGCTGCCTGATTCAGGCCATCTATCACAATTGGTTCCATTTTGAATCTACGGTCCAGGCCATCTAAGTAAAACTTAATCCTTTCACCTTTCCCTAGTACTCTCAGTCCTTTCCCACCTTTCTCCACCATGTGCACCCTAGCGTTACTCTCCTCTAACATTTGTCTCCCTATCATCTTCCAGAATTCACTTGACACTAAAGTACCTTTCAATAAATTGCCTGTGTCACTAAGGCTAGCCATATATGTCCCGTTTAATTAACTTAAATTTCACATATGACGTTTTATGGTTGTCCCTCTCAACCAAATTAACATTGTTCAGATGCCTGAGAATATTCGTTTCCCATTCTCTTAGTTCTGGATCTTTATGTCCATTAGGTCTCAAACTACCTCTCACTCCAGGTTAAAACCATTAGATACTTCCTTAACCTTGTCTATATTATCTAATACTTCCGTTCTAACGTTATCAACTTTCACTTCCGTTACTAATTCACACAAATCATGGACATTGGGATTAACAGAAATGTTTATTAAACAATTAATAGTTGCATTCAAATCATTATTTTCTGCAATCCTAGGAGTTGACGACCCTCTGTCATCGCAACTCCCTAGGGAAAACCCGCCTCTGATACCAGTTTCTTCAGAACCTCCTGCATCACTGCTATGGATTTGGCCATATCTGCCATCTGTACTCCCCCAGAACCACCATTCCCTCTCCTTCCCTGATTTCTCCGTTCTCCTCTGCATTCCCGTGAAATGTGACCCTCTTTCCCACAGTTGTAGCTCGAAATTGAGGGTCGGGAATTAGCACTGCGAGGGTTTCCCCCGGGTTTCTTATGGGGGTGTTCTTCAAACTTCCTGCAATCCTTCTTCTGATGTCCAGATTTCTTGCAGAAATAACATGTATCACCATTCTGCAATGCATTTACCCCACCCTCGACGTCTAAATCTTCAGCATCATACCTGTCCTCCACCAGCCCGGGTATGGCGTTGACGTCCATGGGCACCTACCCCGTCTTCAACATCTCTTTGGCCTTAGTCATCTCACTCTTATCATACCCAAAGGGACTTTGGAATCCTGCCATATCCTGTGCTGGGGCCCTGGGGTCCAGGTTATAAGTCCTCAGGTTAGCCAACTGGTGGTCCAGAACTGCCTTAATCTCCCTCTCATGCTTAATCTCTTTATGCATAAACACCAGGCAAGTTTTCCTCAGTTCAGTATTGTACAACCCCAACAACATATTAGTCTTGAACTGGACTAAACTTCTCCTGGCTGGGGGGTAAGCTTACACAAATAATCTTAGCTTGTCCATGTAATACTGACAAGCATCCTCATTCCTCACCTGTCTCCTGGCCAAGTACTCCATCTTCCTGCCCTCCTTGTCCTTCTTGTGAGTGAACTTCTTCAATAATTCTTGAAAGAATTTGCCAATCTTGTAGCTGTTGAAAGCTAATCCATCAGGTCGCAACAATACTTTCTCTGACTGTGCTTTTCCCGTTATACAGTCTAACAGCATCCTCTTTACGGCATCGTTAGGGACTGTTTCACACTAAAATCTCAACAGATGTTTCTCTAGTTCGTCACACCTTACTAGGGTTACCATCATATGTTGGGGCTCTACAGCTAAAATCCAACAACCTCTTCTTAGATTAAACTTCCACCCTGCTCAGATCTCGTAACGTCTGTCTGTCTCCTCTGCCCGCTGCCTTCTCCGCCTTCAGAAAGGACACATAGACCTCTTGTACATCTTCCACCTTAGGGCGTTCTAGTCTTGCGACTACTCTTCCGATAGGGTCCTGTGTCTCTGGTGTTGTTGACTCTTGCCCCATCTGGGGCGAATGATTTATCCTTATCTTTCTGTTCAATATTTGCCAGTTTTGCCTTAGTCTCCATCAGCTGGGCTTGAAGCATCTGAAACTGCTGCCTTATTTCTGCCATGCCATCTATCGCTGGGTGAGATGGTCCCTCCATATCTACTTCCGATCTAAAATACTCACTGGGTAAACTCGGATATCCCTGAAAGGTAGCCACAGTATTTCCTGTAGCCACACAGGATTCGTTCACAGGCAAAACCTCTCCTGTTAAAACTTCTCTGGCTAATCTGTTAAACCAGGTTTTCACTTTACTCTTTTTCCTGAATACTTTCGGAGTCTCGGGCATCTAGATATGGGTCCTAGGTTATCCCACCGCTGCCACCACTTTTGTAATAAATCTAGATCCAGAGATAAGGCTACTCAAAGTCTAATTATAGCCTAACTGACTCTATCTCTAGCCAAAACTCAAGGCTCTCAATCTCTAGCCAAAACTCAAGGCTCTGTATATGTCCGTCTAACACAACGTTTCATATGGAACTAATTTATTTATATACAGGTTAAACTTAACTGACTGGACTAGCCGGACAGGGTCACATAAAGATAGATAAGATATATTACTAGCATGGATAATAAAGATCGTACATCATTACAACAGAAAATGCTACAGAAAAACAAAACGAAAGTTAACAATTGTTAACAACAACACTTCATTATCAATTGTTAACAACGACTCTTCATTAACGATCATTCACAACAACCTTTTGTAAATCATGTGTAATTTAGTTAGAATATATCAATCATGTAAGTAATATGTTTTACTTTGTTTAAAGAGAATCCATTCAAGAATTTATTGTGTTCTTTTAGCTATCCTAAAAGAAATGAATATTCTAATTTTTATCACATGGAACATGTTATATTTTGTCAATTCTTTAGTAAATATTTAAGATGAAGCCTAAAGTAATAAGTTGAATAATAGCAAATCGTATCCCTGAGCTTCATATTCGACTTAGTACAATTTCTTTAATTTCAAGTGTGAAATCCCTAGAAGTCTGATTTTGATTAGTTAATGGATAAGGTGATGATTGATAATTACAACATGATTTGTGTAAAGATAATTAATTGTTAAAGAATGACTGTCATCAAAAGTATTAATTAAGGGTCGCTGTTAACTGCTGTAAACAATCATTAATGAAGTGATGTCGTTAATAATTGTTAACACAGTGTTGTTGTTAACAATCATTAACAAAGTGTTATCATTAAGGATCATTAACGAAGGGTTGTTGTTAACGATCATTTATAAAGAGTCATCGTTATAGATCTTTTATGAAGGGTTGTTAGCGAAACAGTCCTTCAGAAAACAACTGTTTTGTTTTTTTGGTTTTTCTTTGCGTTTTTGGTTTTTCCTTGCGTTTTAAACACAAAATGATTGTTTTTCAAAAAAGTGAAAACAAGCCTTCTGAATTATTGTGCCCATGAGTTTTCCTATAAAGATGTCAGGCAGTTTGGTACATCTGTTTGGGTAGATATAGCTAATAAATAAATGAGCAAAGAGATTTATTAGTTGTAATTTATTACCAAATTTTTAGCATAACCACCTAGAACAAGAATAGCAGGGTGGCCTGGATAATTTTCATCTAGAACTGCACAATGCTGTAAATTACAAATCTTCAAACACGGTTCTTGCAGTTCATAATCAGGTACAAGTAATGTGGAAATATTCAATTATGGCTTAATAGTACTGAGCTGAAATTATTAGAATTGTGGATGTTGACAGAATGCTTAATCTTTACTCAAAATTAATTTAACAAATTTTATTAATCTCTGCAATAATTTGATCTTTTGTTTGTTACTAGATAAAGTATGTGAAATTAAACCAATTAAATCAGGAGCTGGAGGGTATCCAATTCTAAAGTGTTCAGAGCTTGGAACTTTAGAATGGTGGATATTGAGATCAATGCTTGTTCCTTTTTTTTCTTAATCTCAAGACCAACCTAATTTTGTACTTGTATCCTGAAAACTGTATATAATTCAACCAATGAGAGTCGCGTTTCAATAGTTGAGAAAGTTACAATTTTGAATGCCATTGAGGATTAATACACAGAAACATGAGGGACTTTCTACTGGTTTTTTAATTTTTCTGTACCAAATCCCTAAAAAAAGTTAAGCAAGAATTTAAAAGTGTGCACAATAGATATACGGATTTAGCATCCTGGATTAAAGGTTTCCTGGATTAAAGATTTCCCATTCTGAAGTTCCCAGCTTTGCTTAGGTAACTAGAAAATCTATTTACCGTTAAAAACAACTTTTTATATCATAGCAAATAAATTCTTATGTTGAAAATTTCTGTTTAATACACCACAAAGAACTTGAGAAATTGAAACAATGACAAGATGCAATGGATAAAGATCTTACCTCAAACAAAGAAACAGAATCTGCTGACGGGTAAGCTCCTACACATCAGAATTTAATAATTCAACTTTTCCAAAATTTTGTGAAAGAACAAAGAACAAAAGCTTGTTTACAAAACGATCTTTGTTCAAAAGTAAAAAAAGTCGTAGATATTTATTTTTAGTTCCTCGTTTCTTCAACAAAGTTATGTGATTTTTGATTTTTGACAATTATTAAAGGATCGACTGTTCACTTATTTGGGAAATTTCAGGGTAAACTAAACAGCCTATTCTCTGGCTGGAGAATAAGCTGATTTTTTGTTCAGAATTTGAGAGGAAAAGGGCGGTCCCTATCTATGGACACTATTTGATGTGTTTTTTCCAGTAACAGCAGCCCAATGAAATTTAAGTTTATCATATTTTAATGTCCTTATGTGTTTGTTATTATATACGACAATATGAAATCTTTTGATATTTGAGTTAGCAATAAATTTTTTCGTATTAAAACATGTAAAATGTGTATACAAAGATGATGTTTTCTACAACAATTAATTAATCATTACTCCTATTTTGGTTCGTAGATTCACTCTACATTTAATGTGAATAAAAAATAACTTATATTAAATTCGCAATTATGCATTTTTGAGTAATAGTTTATTTTATTAAAATATCATTGAAAAAAGCGAATAAATTGAATAAATAATAGAAATAATAATTGAATAAACCAGCTGATCGTATTATTTCACAAGAAAATAATATTACGTCAGACGTCTGTCAGCTTTCCTGTTTTCAAAAAGGTCAGCTGCAGTCGCAGTCCAAGAAATTTCAAAATTTATGTATTTTCATTGAATACGATTTTTGTACCCCCCCCCCCCACCCCCCTCCCATCAATTTAGTTCCAGTATGTGTGCAACTTTTCACTTTTCATGCTGCGTTCAATTCAGCTTTTTACACAGGCAATACACAATTATAAATGCGATATAATAGTGTTATTTTAGAAATAAAAAGTTAAAGAACAAAAAAATTTAAAAGATTATGACATTTACAATTAACGATTAGATACTACAGTTTAATTTTATATTTGAAATTTATTTTGTTCCACAACATACTGAAAAAATATCAAATAGTGTCCATAGAGAGGGACCGTCCCTTTCCGCTCAAATTCTGAACGAAAAATTGGCTTTTTCTACGGCCACAGTTGTCTTTGAAAAGCAAGACTATTATCAAATTATCCAAGTAAGTGAAAGGTCCCTTTAAAGCTCAAGAATTGATAATGTCCGAAATTTACAATAATCCTTAGTTGTATAATTTAATGTTTTCAAATCAAAGCATTGATTTCTTCACATTTTATACTTATACATATAATTTAAATCCTTGCAGGGCATATCTAAAATGATTAATTTCATAATCATCAATCTTCAATATTATAGAAATAGAAGCAGATGTAGACCTAATTTGATTTCTTTTTTATTATATGACACTTTTGTAAGTATTTCTATGAAATCAAAATAAAAATTATATCTTTTTCCAACTTTTAAACAAAATTGTGACACTATTGAAGCCCTAATATTTAAATTGCAATCCTAAAACCAGGGTTGCAATGTCAGATTACAAATAGGGTTGTTATTCGTTTTTGAAAATGATCATTAAAGATCGTTTTTTGTTTTATTTTCTGATAGTTTTCAAAAACAATTGTTTTGTTTTCGAAAAAACAATTTTTGAAAATGACCCACTCTTTTGAACTTTTGAAAAAGTAATTTTTAAAAAAATAATGAGCGACCGTTTTTTTATCCAAATGTTTTATTTATAGGGTAGGGTGCAGGGTGGTAAAAAATCTGGTCTGTGAAAAACATCTAAAATAGCCCGTAAATATTTTGTAACAAAAGCTACAGATCTAAAACTATATTTTTAAAAAGCCCTTGAAATATGCAAGTAGAAACATTAATAAATTTTTTTGTACCCTTTTTCAGGCATTTTTTTCCACCATCCCTAGCACCCAAACTAAGAAAATTATTGGTCTTTTTTCATTTAGCTGGCAATGAAAAATTGGGCTATGAACATACATTTCAGCCCTATATCTATTCTCTAAGGCCTTTTTCGTGGGGGTGGGGCGCCAAACGCCCCCCCCCCCCGGCTATACATAAATTCAGACCCAACAGCCTTTAAGGGATCATTGTTAACAATTGTTAATGAAAACAACCAACTTTATAGAAACAGTCGTATTATAAAACATGAGGAAAAAATTGTCATTGATAATTGTGCAACTTTATCGAAGGTTTTGGGGAAGTTCCAACATCTTAATATTTTCTTTAAAACTACTAAATGATAAGTACCAATGACCTTTAGATCATTAACAAAGGGACGTCATTAATGATCATTAACAAAGTGTTTTCGTTAACAATTGTTAACAAAGTGTCATTGTTAACCATCCTTAACAAAGGGTCCTCATCAACCATCATTAACCATCAACCATCATTAGGGTCCTCATTCACAATTGTTAACAAAGGGTCGTCTTTAGTGATCTTTAACAGAACAACAATCTTAATGAAAATAGTCGTTTTTCATAATAAAACGATAAAATTGATAAGATTTGATTTTGTTGGGTAAGGTGAAGAATAGATTTTTCAGTTTTTTAAACCAAAAAAGGGTAGATTTTGATGTAATTTAAATGTTATATTTGTCAAGAAGTGGAAAAATCTTCATAAGATTAGTTTAAAAGATGATAAAATTATATATCTCTTTATTCAATTGGGGGGAATATTACACAGCCTAGGCTTCCCTTGACCTTGTTGGGTCCAAAAGCATCCTTTGCTATGCTTGTGATATGTAAGACTCATCAATTGAAATATTTAAAGGCAGAGTTGCTCTTACGGATCTCTTCATCCTTTTCCCTGGATCAGGTCAGGGCATTATAAGGAAACTGGAGATCGAATAATAGATAAATAGATAAATCGTTAACATGCCTACCAGAGAACTAAGGAGAACACTGGCCTCCTTCCTGAACCTTCAAAACAAATACACATCCTCGGAATCCTCAGCATCACTAGGATATCAGACTCTCTTTACTCTCCAGCTGGGTTAGGAGAGTCAAAACCACAGATTCACCATACACCATAAAGAGATTCATCTCCTGCAGCTTCTAGAACTGGACCAATTGCTTTCGTACCAGCCTGTCTGAACTATCCCATGGGGATATCCTGGAAACAGAGGAGAACTAAGATTTCAGATGCTGCCTCAACCTTATATTAGAGACACTGATCTTTACAGACATCTCTTAACATATTTGGAGCAGCTAAAAGATCCAGTCGGACTTTGGACTTCAGGAGCAAAAGCTAAGCTTATTATTGGAGACACTGCTCTTTACAGGCAGCTCTTCACAGACCTGTTGGAGTAGCAGTCAAGTAGAAGAACAATATGATCTTGATATAGGAAATGCTGCTCTTTACAGACAGCTCTCAACAGACCTGTTGTAGTAGCAGCAAAGATAACTTTGGGACAGAAGACGCTGCTCTTTACAGACATCTCTTCACAGACCTGTTGTATCACAAGCTGAGCAGCAAGATAACCTGGAGACATGAGACACTTCTCTTTACATACAGCTCAGTAATGAATAGCAGAAACTCTAGGAGAAGCTCTGGTTAAAAAATAGCTAACATAATAGAGACTCTAGGAGCAGCTCTAGTAATAAAGGAAGCAGCTTGGAATGTAGCACAAGCATCGCATATTGTAGAAACAGCTAAAGAAAATCTGGAAGCAGCTTATTGCAGTGTAAGAGATACATAACTGGAACAGCTAAACAAGATATTGAAATTGAGGAAGCTTTTCAGACAGACACTGAACTGGAACAGCCAAACCACAGTTCCTCAGACACCATAGAAAGCTGATTCAACAAGAATAGCAGAATAACCAAGAATAACACCAATAAACTGAAAAGCTGAAACATCCCATTCATTCATACTCTCAGATATATATATAAAGAAAGAACTTTTAAGGGGTTTATGAAAAGTACTGGGATTTAGAGAAAGACATTTGTACATATCCTTAGGGAGCAAATGATTGATCTCATAAATCCCCAAGATTTATGTCTAATTGTAGTCGACAGAATAGCCTTAATCATTATACAAGGTCTTTGAATGCCTAGGCAATTTAATATTCCCTCTTTTATTTATTGCATCCCAATCTGGGATGTTAACATTTTCATTTTTTAAAAATGATTGTTTCGTTATGAAAACAATGACAAAAATTGCAAAAGGAATCTTTGTTCTATTTAAAAGTTTGTTTTTAAAAACTTGTCTTTTCGTTACTGATTGTTAACAATGATCCTTGGTAAACAATTGTTAATGACGAACATTTGTTAAAGATCGTTAAAAATGACCCTTTGTTAACGATCATTAATGACAACCCTCTAATGATTGTTAACGAAGAGTGGAAATTGACCTGAAGGGCATCTTATCATTAAGTAGTTTTTAAGAAAATATCAAGAAGTTTTAGTTCCACCACAACTGTTTAACTTCATGTCGTTTCATGACTACCATCCATTAACGATGGTTAATGATGGCCCTTCATTAAAGATCATTAACACAATTGTCAATAATATTTTTTTCAAAAATGATCGCTTTTTAAAAAACAATCATATAAAAATGGTTGCAAATTGTTTTACAAAAACGATTGATTTCAAAAACGACCCTTAATCGTTTTCTAAAAATTCAAAACAAGTGGGTAGTATTTAGAAACAATAGTTTTCTTTCCGAAAATGAAAATATCGTTTTTGAAAACAATTGAAAAACGAAAAAGAACAACCATTTAACAATCCTTTTCATAACGGATTAACCCTATCCCTGCTGGGGTACTTGAAAACCAGGATATGCCGGGGGTCCAGCAGGAATAGGGTTAGCAACCCTAATTCCAATTGTCTCCCTGTAATGAAGAGATAGATAGATATCATGTGATTCAGTTCATTTGTTGTAAAACTGTAATAAAATCTTTGAAAAAACTGTTGCTCTCTTAGTTGTTTTTAAATAGTTAAAAAATGTTTTTTAGTTTTAAAAATATCTATTTTTTTAAAGTTACAAGAAATAAAAAATATTGTCCTGCGCTTTTATAATGACTTACAAACCTACCTGCATATTGCACAATATTCTTACTTTGTGTATCAACATCATGTGCTATAGTTGTTGTGCGAACACCTGAAAGTTTAAGTTGCAATGAACATCATCTTTGGAATTTAAAAAAGGTCATCATCAATTTTTAGGTTTTATTGTACAAATAAAATGCTATATTTTTCACCAATATTTTCAATTAATTATTATTATTATTATCAAGTTATTAAAGGTTCAAAACATATAGAAGAAACACCAAGAATGAGGAAGCAAATAAGATTTTATTAGCAAACTATAGTTCCTATAAGATTCTAAAATAAAAATAAAAGCTAGCCACAGAGAAATAATTCCAAGTAAGGTTTAGACCCAACTGTTCATGCCCTTTACTATTTAGCTAAGATCAAATATAGTCCAACAGTAGAAGTCCTTGCATTTGGAGTTTAACCAAATAGATTGTGTGTCCATACTATTGTACATATTGTTTTATATGAGAAAATCATTATTTGTCTAATGCAAAATGCAAAACTAGTTCACACGCACAAATGATATCATGCAAGTCACAAGACAAAGACTTTATTAAAAGGTAAAAAAAAAAATTACTGGTTGAGTGATGAATTCTGTACATAAATCTACTGAACAGTCAAAATCATAATTCTCTCCCTCCTACCTTCCGTGCCTCTGCAGTTTGACCTGCTTGTCTCTCCCGGGAATCCCTAGTTTCTTGGATTCCCAGGTGAATTGTTGGTTGGGCCAGTGACATGGAAAGGTTTCACAATATTTATAGCTGAATGATTTCCTCAAATTTTAGGTCCGTTTCCTCATATTTTTGATCCGTTTCTGCTTTTTTCAAAAATGTTAAGAATCTCATGTTATTGATTGGTTTTCTCAAATTTTAGGTCCATTTCCTTATATTTTTTATGTGTTTCCGCTTTTTTCAAAAACCTTTAAAATCTCATTTTGTTGATCGGTTTCCTCAAATATTAGGTCTGTTTCCTCATATTTTTGATCCATTTCTGCTTTTTTCAAATATTTTAAAAATCACACCCAATATTTGAGGAAACTGATCAAAAATATGAGGAAACATATCAATTTAAAAGTTTTTGAAAAAAGAGGAAACTAATCAAAAATTCCTATATTCATTCATATATTTATTCAACTACAAAGCATGAGATATTACAAATAAGCAATCACAATTTACTATGCAGTTTGGACCGTCTAACTAGGGTTGGTTGTTTTGGGTGGTTGGCCCGAAGTTAATTAATGATACTGAATATAATTGGTTACACATAGCAAGATATGTTTTTGGATAGGAAAGGAGTTGATTAGAAGGAAGGAGATTGTCAGGTGATCTGTGGCAGGATGAGATCAGAGGGATTTTTATGTAGAGATAAATTAATATACAGGGTGTTAATAATGGTAGTTACAGAAAAGGAATTAAGCTATCAAAGTTTCAGTTATTTTATTTTTTTATTTAAAATTTATTCATACAATATACAGCGAGGTTTTTCGCATTTAAACCTCTCATAATTCTCAGGATAAATATTTATTACTCTTTGTTTAAATATTTTCGCAGATTTAGTATCTTTAAGGTCAATTTCAATTTCATTCCACAATTTAGGGAACATTGCGGACGGAAAGCCTTCTAAATTTTGTTTTTGTTCTAATTTACATGATTTTGTTCTGTTTGGTTCAGCTAAAGACTTAAACATATTATGGAAGGAAGAGGGAAGGTCATCATTAAAGTATCCATGCATAAATGTCAGAACACAAAGTTTGTATGTATCATCAAGATTACGAACTTTAAGTTTTGAAATATTTGTTCACACATTCATTACCAATCCTTTCAAGTATCTCATTTCCTGTTTATATATTGCAACTGTTGGGGTCTAAGTGAATATTTTTATTTCTAAATACAATATACTTAGTTTTGGAGACATTTATGTGACAAACTTTGAAACCATTTAGCTGCTTTTTTAGTTCAGTGTTTACATCAAGTATTGGGCTTGCAAGGTCAGAAGATGACTTTAAAAAACTAGTATCATCTGCAACGAGGCTGGTAAAAAAAGATGTTGCAAATCGTTTATATAAAGGAGAAACAGCAGTGGCCCTAGAACACTTTCATGAAATTCTTTCTGTTGGAAAAACTCGATTTATACTACATATTTAGTTCTATTAACTAGATTATTTTTAAACCAGGTGTTGGCCACATTTTTGAAACCATAATGATTTAGTTGTTCTTAAATTATGTCTAAATCACAGCAATCAAAATCTTACTTTAAGTCTAGGAATATTCCAAGAGTAAATTCTGGTTTAGATTTATTAAAGTTTATATAGATTTTATTCATTAAGTGCTGAAGTGGTTGATATGTGTTATGTTTAGGTCTAAATCCATATTGGTGCTCATACATTATGTTAAACTTATTAAGATATCTGAACATTTGATATTGCAGCAATTTTTTCAAGTAGCTTACTCAAAGCTGGAAGAATACTTATAGGTAATTATTAAACTTATCTTTTTTGTCTGCTTTAAAGATGGGAATAATTTTTGCACATTTATACTTGCTAGGGATGTAACCTGCTTTAAATGAAAGATTAAATAAATATGAGGAGACGGACCTTAAATTTTTACAAAACCCCTCAAAAATATTGGGAAATCCCTTGAAAATATTTGAAAAAAACAATATACAATTCTGCTAAATCGATCAAAAAAAGAGGAAACTCCTAAAAATTTGAATTTAGAGGGATTTCCAAAAAATTTGAAGAAATCGAGGAAACATAAAAAAATCTACTTTTGACGGGTTTCCGCTTATTTTAATTTAGATCCGCTTCCATATTGAGGCATTTCCGTGTTGAGGCGTTACAATGTCACCAATCTGGCCACACTTGACGTGAGGCTAACAATAACTCTATATACAGTAGTAGAATAGGGATAAATATTTCTCTGCAAACTATTTACACCACCAAAAGGTCACATCATCCCTTACAATATGTCATTGGTTTAGAATTCAAACAATCAACATTAAAAATTTCTAGATATCAATAACTTAATCATTAGTAGGTGCCAAAAACGGTTGGAAATTAATGACAAGGTTACAATCTTCTAAATTTGATAAATAAGATAGGATGCTTTTTATTCACAAAGATATTATAGTTATGCATTTCTAATATAAAATCACATAAAAAGGAAACAATTTTTGGTGAAAGATATGCTTAACAAGTCCTAAAATCTTTTTGATTAGAAAACAGGAATCATTAATTAATCAAACCAATTGAGGTTTTGTGTTAAAATTCCAATACTTACTTTTTATATTGCCAAGATCTTTGGTTAAGATAATTTATAAGTTGAGATAGTAAGTTGTCAGAAATTAAAAATTTACAAGATTAGAAATGAAAAAACAATAGAAAATATTTAGCAATTAACAAATCATTTAGCATACCTTCCACTCCTTCTTCTGCATATCTTCCAGATATGATGTAAATCTTACGTTCATACACCACCATTGAAAATCTGGATCTACAATAATAAATATTGGCTTGAGTGTAGAATTTTAATCAACTAAAATGAAGTGTTCAAAATTGCATTGTGCAGTGTCTACATCAGAGGGGGGGAGGAGGGGGGATTATCATTAGGTAAATATTGTACAATAACATTCAAGAAATCAGGTCTAGCTTTAAGGTCAGGAGGAATTAATGAGTACGTTTCTAGGTAACAATTTAGCAGAATTTCCCAGTAATCTTTCTTTGGAATCTGCGGAAATTCCCAGAAATCTTTCACAGAAGAAAATCCAGTAAATGTTTTGTAACCCATTCTAAGGATGTTCTCGTAAACCATTCAGTGTAATTTCTCCAGGTTAGTCAACTGTTCATTTCTATTTAAATGCCCCTTGCTCACTAGGGCTTGTGGGTCAGTTAGATAAGGTGAAGAGTTCGTCTTGTATTCCTGGGGGGGGGGGAGAGTTAGAGCAGACAGCACTGGTTTGGCTAGTTTTACTGGTGTACTGCATTTCTACCCTGTTTGCTCTCAGTCTTTCTGATGACATGGAAACGACTCAACCCGGAAATGGATCAAAACAAGCAGAAAACCCTCAAAAGTAGGTTTTTAGAGGTATTTCCGCGATTTCTTAAAAATTTTTCGGAATTTCCTCTTTTTTTGATCCATTTATCAGAATTGTATATCCATTTCTGCTTTAATTTATTCAAATATTTTCGAGGGGATTTCCAAATATTTTTGAGGGGATTCCCAATATTTTTGGTAATCTTTTTTTTTTTTTTGGTCCGTTTCCTCTTTTTTAAAACTTTTAAATTGACATATTTCCTTATTTTTTTAATCTGTTTCCACTTTTTTCAAAAACTTTAAAAATCTCACTTTATTGATCAGTTTCCTCAAATATTAGGTCTGTTTCCTTGTATTTTTGATTTGTTTCCACTTTTTTCAAAAACTTTAAAAATCATGATTTGTTGATCGGTTTCCTCAATTTGTTTCCTCATATTTTAAATCGTTTCCGCTTTTTTCAAAAACTTTAAGATTTCAACTTAATGATTGGTTTCCTCAAATTTTTGGTCCATTTCCTCATATTTTTGATCCATTTTATGTCCATTTCCTCATATTTTTGATCCGTTTCCACTTTTTTCAAAAACTTTAAAAATCTCATTTTATTGATCGGTTTCCTGAAATATTAGGTCTGTTTCCTTATATTTTTGATTTGTTTCCGCTTTTTTCAAAAACTTTAAAAATCTTAATTTGTTGATCGGTTTCCTCAATTTGTTTCCTCATATGTTTGATCAGTTTCTGCTTTTTTCAAAAACTTTAAAATTTCAACTTATTGATTGGTTTCCTCAAATTTTGGTCCATTTCCTCGTATTTTTGATCCATTTCCGCTCATTACAAAAACTTTTATTGTTGATCAGTTTTTGCTTTTTTCATGAACTTAAAAATCTACTAGTACTAATTAGCAATTTCTTTTCATTTTGCTTAGTTTTGATTCATTCTTGGGTTTAAATCAAACTTTTAAAAAAAAACTTGTGGAAAGAGAGAAGGGGTGTAAGGCCTGAATGATCTCATTCAACAATGCACAATGTTTTCAGGATTGAACGATATTTTTCATTAATTACATTAACCTTTTAATGAAGTCCATTGCTTTTTTAATTCCCGTCATAAAATGATAGTTGTATTCTAAAATATAATTTTTTACTGTGTCTCATTAAAAAGTCACATGCGCTGTAATATTTATACCTACACACTTAAAAAGTATTTTTAACTTTAATAATTTATTTTAATTGAATTTTACAATATTTTTAAATTTCAATATGATATCAGATGGAAACATTTTGAGACTTCTATATTTCTTGTTTTTCATTCTTTCTTCTTGATCTTCCATTCCTTGTCCATCCTTCAATCATACTTTGGCTAATTTTGAAAATAAAAATGAATGAATTTTTTGGATGTTTTCTGCAGCTAGCCAAATTGCAGAGGCAAAACTATTTTTTCAGCCCTGTATCTATATTCTATATATTGAGAGTGGCAATGTTACTCTTCCCCTTGTTTGTATTTAAATTTTGCTTCAGTCATGATACTGTGTCGAGTCAGCTCCTGTATTCCTAGCTTGATGGAGGGGGAGAGGGGGGCATTTTACACATTTTCCAGTTTTTTATCTCAAGTAGGACACAGAGGGGGGGATGGGATGTCTGCCATCCTGTGTATTTGTCTTTATTTGTTATCGGTGAAAAAAAATAGATAATGTAAAAATCAAATCCCCTTCTAATTTTTCCTATTCAAAGTTTTCTTTTATTTTCTTGTTTATCTTGCTTTAGCACCCATCTCTACTGACAAGAGATTTCCCTTCCACTTTTTTCTGTTCAATTTATTTTTTCTTCTTGCTCCTTGTTTCTTTTTTTTACACGTTAAGGCCTTTCCAAATAGTTCTTTTAACATCAAGTTGTGGAGCAGGTAGGAGAGAGATAATACAAGCCATGCACAACGATACTTGTTTTTTACTCGACCAGATGTGAGGACTGGACTGCCATGGAAGATACCTCTCAATAGAGCTTTCAGGGATCACAACTCCCCATTGTGCATATGGGGTGCAGTTATGGGTAAATTCCTTAACTCCCCTAACTGGGAAACAGTATAAAATGAAGGAACACAGGAGAAATCCCCTATACCCTTCTTCCTACACACATAAAAAGTATAAATATCGGAAAAAATGAGATATTGTATCTATTCCTATTGTAATTATTGGTCCAAAAATATCACAGATTAATTTTCAAAGTCAAATTTTACAGTTACATTTAGAGTAAACTCCATGTTGGAGACAGTGTTATCAATAATATGTTTTTACACGTCACAGATATCCAGAAATACGCATTTCTAACAAGAGTGATAGATGGGCGAATATAGATATAACAAGAAACGAATATTACAATATATGAGATCAGAATTAAACAAGATACAGATCATGAAATGCTAATTTCTGGATTTTAGTTTCCTTATGAAGACCATAGTTCGTTCCAAAAAGTCCAAGTTTTGTTATAGTTACAAAAAGTTATGTAATATGTAACCCTCAAATTTTTTAGACCGACTGAGAAGCTAGATTAGAACCAGAACCTGTCTCAAATAACCAACAAACCTTCATTGAAATATATAATTTTCTCTCAGATAACCCTAGAACCTTGTATCTGTTAAAATTGCAATGTATATTTTTTTTTTCATTTATATTATTATTTATAACTAGAATATGCATCCATAAAGTTATGCTATCTGACATAACGTTTCTGAAATGTTTTAGAAGCAATATTTTGTTTGTCAGGCACTAGAAGATTAGAAAAAAATATTTGTTTAATTAATTTACTCATGTCGTTTATTTTAAAGTTGTATGACAAAGTATGTTTTTTTGAACCTGCGGATACCAAAAAAGATGATTCAAAAGAGGAAATAGATAGGAAATAGGAAACGGACCTAAAATTTTAGAAAATCTTTAACGAAATTGAGATTTTTTAAGTTTTTGAAAAAAGCGGAAACGGATTAAAAATATTTGGAAACTAACTTCAAAGGAGTTGGTCACTCAGCACCAAAGGGGTATATCTTCCTTACAGATCATTATTTTTACATCTAGTTTTTTCTAAAGTAAGTCCAGTATATCCCTGAATGGTGTTCTGGCCAGGATGTACCTTGAAAAGTGCAGGGGCGCAAACTGTTGAAAAAAAGGGGGGTTGATAGGGTGCTATTTTCGGAAATAATGATTCAAATAAAATGATATTTCAAACTATTTTTATTTGGACCAAAACTAATACATTTATGTTGTTTTGGTTTATTTCAGGGCTCCAGGGGCGTAGAAATAGGACTTCAAAGTTTTGCAAGGGATATCTGCCTTATTTATAATTATTTTGACATCTAGTTTTTTCTGAAGTACGTCCTGTTTATGCCCGAATGCATTTCCAGCATGGATGTACCAAAAAAACTGTAGGGGCGTAAACTGGAGATCAAAAAGGGGGGTCGACAGTGAACTATTTCCTAAAAAAATGATTCAAATGAATTGATATTTCAAACTATTTTATTTTAGACCATAGCTAATAGATTTATGTTGTTTTGGTCTATTTTAGTACTTCAGGGGCGTAGAAATAGGACTTTAAAGTTTTGCAAGGGGTATATCTATTTGAATTTTCATTTAATGAATATAATGTGTTCAAACTAGGGTTCCAAACAGATAAAATGATTAAATGATTGACTTTATTGTGTTGTAAATCTGTCAGGGGCGTAGAACTAGGACATTTCAAAAATTGATTTTTAACAGTTTTCTCAAAAATAATTATTTAAAAAAAAAAATTTCAAACTTTTGACTCTATCTCTATAAATGACTGTTTGATGTATTACATTATTATTTCTGACCATCAGGGGCGAAAAAATAAAGCTTTGAAACCGCAACCTTTATAATTTTACACTAGTATTCTCTTCAAATAAACATTCAAGTCAAGTTGTTTTTTCAACCTATCATTAATCACAAACAATGTTTTTAAATGAACCAACTTCTTATCCTCTGCATACGTCAGGGACATGAAAATATAGGTTTGAAGATGAGAAATTGTGGTTCTACATGAAAACACATAAAAATAACAATCTAATACATACATAGCTATCAAGCTTATGTTAAAAATATCAATATTAGATTAATAATATAGATGGTTGTTCTGTAAACTATAAAGGGACAGAGAAATAGTGTGTTTGGAATTTTATTAATAAAAAACGAAACCCTGCAGAGAGAAACGGAAATGCACAAGTACTCGATATAAAAAATAAATTATTAGATTTTTCTATTCTGATAAAATCACGGAACCTCTCTACTTCTCTTTGGCCATTTGGGTGGTGGGGGGGGGGCAAGGTTTTTTGGGACNCATAAACCACAAAAACTAGTTTGAATAAAAAAGTTCAAATGAACCAACAAAATAGTTAGAATTCAAATGGAATCAAAAAATAATAAATAATTTTAATTAAACAAGTATTTTTCAGAATTATGGGACAAAGAAGGAAATGGGGAGGAGCGCGCCCCAATGCCGGGAAATAATCAAAGATGCAAACAGGTATCATTATTATGTGTGGTCTTTGGGGGAGGGTGGTGGGTGGGGCAATTATCTTGAATTCTTATTGATTTCTATTCTTTTTTTCTTCTAAAATATGTGTGCGTCCATTTTACATATGTGAATATACAATGTTTGATTAAATGTTTTTTAAAGCTTTTTTCCACCGTCATGGATTAAATGACTAGGAATGGCATAGTTTTCAAAAACGATCGTAAAAAATTGTTAGTTTTTTCCCTAAACGAAACAAAACGAACGTTTTTCATAAAAGCCAAAACTCCCCACCCTATATATGACTCCTGTTAAAGAAAGGGTTTGGATTTGGCAGAACAAATATTTGACTACACTAATCTTTTTCTTAGACAGTGAATGCACATGGAGTGGAGGGGGGGAAACTCCAGTGATAATCAAAATTGTTCCTGGACTTGGATGGGTAGGTGGAGGAAATCATGAATGCAGAGATGGTGCCAACCTTACTACTTATTCGATGTTTCTCACTTTAAGTGTGGTGGTGGTGTTGGAAATGGAGGTTGTGATGCTGGTGCTGGTGGTGGAGGTTGTGGTGCTGGTGGTGAAGGTTGTGGTGCCGGTGGTGGTGGTGGTGGAAGTGGAGGTAGTGGTGCTGGTGGTTTAATTGGAATCGCAAGGCTGGAGACTGAGGTGATGGTGACAAGTGAAAATAATCTACAAGTTCCAGTTCTACAACCTGCTAGAGGTTTGAGTTCTGGTTTTGATGTGTCGGCCAAGAGTGAGGAGAGTTTGAATAAGTAAGTTTTTACCTTATTTAGGTTCTGATTTTACCTTATAAAATAATGTTATCAATCTAGTTTAAAGTTTAATAAGTAATAACTTCTGTTCTGTTTTGATTATTTTCAATAATTGTTCCTGTTTTAGTGATCTGGAATTGGAGGAGAAAACAGCCTTAGACTGAAGTTTGAACTATTTTTTCTAAGCTTTGCTGTGGGCTACTGTCAACCTTCTTTGTTAATGTTAAAAATAAAAGCTAAAAAAATGTATTGGTTTAGTTTTTTTGAACATTAAAGTTATTAAAGTTGACAAAGTTTGCTTTATCAGCAGACAAGAGTAAAATAAAGTTA